TTTAAAAATGTACTTAAAAATCCACTATATATTGAAACAAATCATTAACAGGTCTTACTATCAAGACAATGCCAACCTCCTTTTTTCAGTCTGAATAATTCCATCATTGCACACACCCTTTTTGGTGAGTTTCAGATAGCTCAACCTGTTTGATAGTTTAACTTTGACTATTAAATGGTTAAGTTTTACTTGGTACTATCTTCCTTTAAGATTATACAAGAAAATTAAGAATAAATATTAATACTTTTAACATCCCAGTCATTTAAGAACCATTTGTACTACACACACATACATGCACAAAATACAAACACAAACTGATCCTTTAGGTCCAGGAGTTCATTCACATCCTATTTTCAGATCTTCTTGCATAAGAAATGTTAACAACACCAAGAAGGACTTCAGCATCAAATTATCTGCTAAATATGCAATTACTGGTATAGGCATTGTTTTATCAATGTTTATCTTTTTCTCCAGCTTTATTGAAGTGTGATTAACAAATAAAAGTATATACATTTAAAGTATACAAGAAAATGTTGTGGTATATGTATACATTGTGAAATGATTTCCACAATCAAGCTAATATATCCATCATATCAATGTTTAAAATAGGGAAAAAGCACTTTGAGTTGAAGAGAGGTAAGACAGATTTACGAAATGGTGGAATATAAACTTTGCTGTCATGGATTCTTTATAATCCATATGAGTAAGAAAAAAATGAAAGGGACTATATTAGTCATGTTGGGCTGCTATCACAAAATGCCAAAAACTGGGTTGCTTAAACAACAGGAATTTATTTCTCATAGTCCTGGAAGCTGAGAATTCCAAGATCAAAGGTGCAGGCCAACTTAGTTCCCTGGTGAGGCCCTCTTCCTGGCTTCCAGACAGTACCTTCTTGCTTTGTTGCTTTGCCTACACGTAGAGGAAAGGGGAAGGGGGTAGCAAGCTCTCTGGTGCCTCTTCTTAGAAGGAAACCAATCTCATCATATAGGCTCCACTCTTATGACCTTATCTAAATCTAATTACTTCCCAAAGTCACCATCTCCAAATACCATCACACTGGAGGTCAGAGCTTCAATATATGAATATATAAATTTGATATATGAATTTGATTCAAAATGGGCAAATAAGGACTGGATGTAATGGCTCCCACCGGTAATCCCAGTGCTTTCGGAGGCTGAGGTGGTGGAACAGGAGCTCAAGACCAGCCTGGGCAACATAGCAAGACCCCATCTCTAAAAAAAATTTAACTGGGCATGGTGGCACACATCTGTAGTCCCAGCTACTTGGGAAGCTGAGGTGGGAGGATCACTTGAGCATAGGATGTTGAGGTTATAGGTGTGATCAGCCACTGCACTCTAGCCTGGGTGACAAAGTGAAACACTGTCTCAAAAAAAAAAAAAAATGGGAGTTCAATGAGCATAGCAATAAAAGAATCTTAGAAATCAACTGTGGCTACAGGAAACTAACATATATATTATAGGGCCTCTTTCTCAAGCAAGCACCTAGAAACATACACTATGTACCATGTATGGAAAGAACAACCTGGTTAAGGGATAGGAAAAAAGGCAATAAATTCAACAACTATCATTCAAAATAGGCTTTGAGAAATACTAAAACATATACATGAAGTATAGGGCAAAAAATAATCACACTCCTATTTCCTGACAGCTTTTCTCAACTACAGAACTTTAAAAAATGTTGGTTTGAGGCATTATTTTAAGACGCACAATGATTGTAACCTTGCTTGCTCTTTTTTGTTTTCTTTTACCTAAGATAGGAGGAAGAACAATTTTTTAAAATGATACTTTAGCTGTTGAATAATTAAATAATGGCCACTGGGTGTGTGTTGAGGGGGCACTAACTACTTAAGAAAAAGGTCCCTTTAAAAAAGCAAAAGAAATTGTGTCAGGGAAATAGTAAAACCAAGTATTTGAAATGACTTACAGTAGTTCCCCTTTATCTGCGGTTTCCCTTTCCATAGTTTGTTACCTTCAATCAACCATGGCCTGAAAATATTAAGTGGAAAATTCCAGAAATAAGCAATTCATAAATTTTAAACTGAACACCGTTCTGTGTAATGTGATGAAATCTATTGCCTTCTGCTCAGTCCTGCCAAAGGTCTGAATCCTCTTTGTCCAGCACATCCACACTGTCTATGCACCCCGCCCATTAGTCACTTAGTTGTCTCAATTATCAAATGGAAAAAACAGTACAGTTAGTTGTCCCTCGGTATCCTCAGGGACTCAGGGATTGGCTCCAGGACCTCTGGGAATATGCTCAAGGGCCTCATATAAAATGGCGTAGTATTTGTTTACATCCTGCCATATACTTTAAATCACCTCTAGATTACTAATAATACATAATACAATTTAAACGCTGTGTAAATAGTTGTTATATTTTTTATTGTATTGTTTTTAATTTATATTTTGTTTGTTTTCAGATATTTTTGATCCCAAGGTTGGATCAACAAACCTGGAACCTGCCCATACAAAGAGGTGACTGTATGTAAACATAGTGTTGGGTACGGTCTAAGGTTTAAGGTATCCAGTAGGGGTTTTGGAATGTATCCCCTAGGATAACAGGGGACTACTGTATTTGCATTTCTCTGCTCTTTTACTTCAAATGCCATAACCTTAGTCAAGAAATAATCTTTAGTTTCAGAGTTTCCTAAACAAAAAGTGAAAGTAGTCCAGTGGAATTTTTACTTTATTTTTTACTTGCAAAACTTTTAAATTAATTATAGGAGAATTCTTACCTCTTTTTCTTGAGTAAAACTGGCTTAAGGGACAATGATAGACACAATGTCAGGAAAAAACTATGTCCTTTGTGACACATTCTTCTATCTGGCAAAGCAAGCAATTTCTGTTCAGAAGCTCCTATTTTTAAAAGGAAGCACAGATATCTTTTTTTTTTCTTCCTAATCAAAAGCTTGTATTTTTTCCCCAAAGTTTCTTCTTTTAAAAATTATTGTAGCCCTACATTTCTTTAGCATTTTATCAGTTCCATATTTTTTTCTGAGAGTTTTTCAATTTATTTTCATATATAGGTGCATATCATATGATTTGTTCTATAATATTTTTATTTGTAGGCCATTAAAAAACTATAGTGGGGAGAAGCATTTTTACTAATTTTTTTGCTAACACTTTTAGAAATATATGCAATGTTTGCCTTCAGGTATACAGTTCTTGACATATTATTTTAAGTAAATTCAAATAAATCTAAATACAAGCATTTAATTTCAGCAGTGATCATTTTACTCACTTTGTCATCCCAAATCCTCTTTCAACTTAGAAATCACATTGTCTCTACCTCCTCTTTAGGAAGACTGGTGGAATCTCCATTAATCATAAGTTCATTACTATCCAAGATAAACTTCATGACTGTTAAAAGCTTTATGTCGGATCAATTTTTTTCCTATATTTTCTTTTTTTTTTCTTATTTTCTCTTTCTCCTTACCTCCATCCTTTCCTCCCTCCTTTCTTCCATTCTTCTTTTAAGTTATATATGCCATCTGCCTGAGTCACAGTGGCAGTGTTAATGAATTCTGCTTTTGGGGAGGATACATATACTATAGAATCAGATTGTTTACTATTAAAATTCATCAAACATACTGGCAATTTTATGGGTTCTTTGGCTTAATCAGTTTTACCTGCTTTCCATAACATGTCACATTACTTCATTAGTTTTTCAAGACAAAAGAGGATACTTAGAGGTTGGTTGGGGTATAGAGAAGAGAGCTTAGAGGCCTTCTCATTTGATGAGGGCAAATGTTCTTTAGGAAATAAAAACCCATTATAATTCATTACAATAGTAACTAAAATTTAGACGATATCCTAGAAGGGAAACAAAGCAGGTTTAACATGGGAAGCAGTGAAAAAGAATAGTAGTAGATTTACAAATGTGAGGTGGGAGAAGTGAAGCCAACAAAAACAGAACACATTAATAGTCAATTCATAATACCTGGGGTGGATGAATACTTCTAATGCAGTTTTTTCTATAAGTATGAAGCATTGCTATCTTTTTATTTTACAGGCCCCTAAAATTCAACATGTCTGAAACAGAGAAGTAATAGTCTTTCTTTACACACCAGCATTTTATCTTGCATTCTCTATAAACAGTACAAGAAATAACATATTCTTGGTTCAGTAGTCCTTAGATAAGTCAGTTCCTGTCTCTGACAAAGTTTTTATTATCTACTCTCAATAGAAATTAAGAATGATTTGGTCTTTCAAAAACTAAATTTATTATATTTTTTGAAATTCTAAAATTACATTGTTCCTCTTTTATTTCATGAAATAATTGAGAGTAAAAAAATTAAATAACTGTATTTCCCCAAAATTTACTTATTTGTACTGTTCAATGAAAACCTCAAATCTGTGAACTAGGGTTCTTAAATGCTTTTTGTTCATACTCTAGTGGTTTGGAGATTTTGGTGAATCTGAGAATTCCCTGAAACCTTGTTTAAAATGCAGATTCTTGCTACCCCATCTCTCCTCCAAGAGATTCTAACTTCAGTACCTAATATTCAATTTACTTTGGAATAATCCAGTTACTTTGTAGGTTGAGACCCTTGAAAAAAGGAACAAGTCATTCAATGAGTCGTATCTATTTGTTCCCATACATTTCGGAACTTAGTGTTGACTTCCTTAAATGAACGGGGTACATGTTGAATTTCATAGGTTTTGGAGACTGGCCTGAGCAAATTGACTATCTATAACCTTGTTTCTATAGTATTCCAAACAATTAATAAAGTGGATTCCTGGCTAGTCACAAATTGGAATTGCCTATATTCTTTCAAGAGCCACCTGTTCCCACTTGAGAGCCCTATGACAGACGCTCAGTCCAATTCTGTCGAATGTTTTCAGCAGCATAGGAGCAGAGTAAACGGCTACGTTTTAAGTAATTAGAGCTTTTCATTTTGCCCCATAGCTTTGCCCCAGAACTTATCATTTTATTATTGTGGTAGTTTGTAGACTACCATGTAAAGAGCAAGGTAACCACTGGTGGTTGCGCTCGAGAGCGGGGCGAGAACGGCTGGTTCCTGCAGCGCCCAGGCCAGCACGGAAGCGCCCTGGTAGAACCCAGCCGAGGATACACGCTTCTCCCCGCGCGGCCAGAGGGCAGAGCAGCAAAGCGCTCCCGGGGGCATTGTGTGACAGCCAAGCCCAGAGATAGCAGGCCCTGGGGGCAGCTCCACCACAGGAGACAGGACACGCCTCAGCCCGGGCAAATTCCCGGCCTCCTCTGGCTCCAGGCCAGCAGCCGCCGCCCTCCACCTCCTCTCCTCCTCCGCCGCCGCCGCCCCGGCCGCCTCGCCGTGCCCCGAACCGCCCGCGCCTGGGCGCGCGGCCCCTCGGCCCACAGCGCTGACGGCGCGGTTGGGACGGGACCGATGTGGCGCATGCGTGGTGGCGCCACTAGGCGCGGGAGTTGCGGCGGCGGGCATGGCGGCGGGGATAGCCGCGGGCCAGGCCGCCCGGGCCGGGTTCGTGGGGGTGGCGGCAGCAGCGGCGGCGTGGGCTGGCGAGGCCGTGCGGGCGGCGCCCGACAGCAGCTGGAGGAGCGGTTTGCCGACCTGGCGGCGAGCCACCTAGAGGCCATCCGCGCGCGGGACGAGCGGGACCGGCAGAACGCGCGGCTACGCGAGGAGAACGCCCGGCTGCGGCTCGAGAACCGGAGGCTGAAGCGCGAGAACCGCAGCCTCTTCCGTCAGGCTTTGCGGTTCCCCGGCGAAGACGCCGACGGGACGCCCGCGGAGGCAAACCCAGGCCCCGAGGAGGCCAGCACGAACCGCAGGGCGAGAGGCAGCGGCCGTGAGGATCAGCCCGGCAGCCCCAGGGCCCTGAGGGCTCGGCTTGAGAAGCTGGAGGCCATGTACCGCCGGGCTCTGCTGCAGCTGCACGTCGAGCAGCGGGGGCCGCGCCCCCGAGGGGACAAGGAGGAGCAGCCTCTGCGGGAGCCTGACTCAGGCCTCCACGCCCGGGACCCGGAACCCTCTGGGCCCAGGTTGTAACCGAGGCCGCCGCGGGGGAGAGGCGGAGCCTCGCGCGGGCCCCTCCTCCTCCGTTCCTCGGCTCCCCCCACCTCGCCCATGCCCCGGGCCACTCGGAGGGCGGAAACTTTGGACCGCTGTGCTCTCCCGCCTCCTGTCCCGCCTGCGGACACTTCCGGGTGGTGCTTCCCGATCTGCCCGGCCGAGGCCGAGAGGGTGCCAGGGCCCTCTGGGCTTCCCACGTGCACCGAGCACCTGTCGCTTGCCCCTGCGGGATTCCATGGACAGAGGCCTAGCAACGGAGGGGCGGGTTGGGTTTTAAAACAGCAAGAACTGGGTGCCAGTAAACACTCCTAATTTCTGAACCTTTCTAGGTGTGGTGAGGATCTGTTGTGTGTGCGTTTTCTCTTTTTGTGAGGGATGAGTAATGCGTTTTGAGTTAGTTGAGTTCGTTGTCCATTCTTCAACCCCCCAAAGCCTTCAGCTATTATCTCTTATGTGGCCAACATTTCAAATACAGTGTTTGTTTTTACAAATCGGTATCACTTGGATGTCCTATACAGTACTCCATTTTTATAAAGAAGAGAAGAATATATATAACTTAGGAAACTCGTGTACCCCTGCTTCCAGTTCATATACATCTAATATATACTGAATCGTTTACTCCCCAGAAAAAATTTTAAGTATCTGCCTATAGGTGATCCTTTAGAAATGGTAAATAAATCTGGTGCATTAAAAATAATCCAAAAGTTTCCCATGCCTATTATTTTAAGTGTGTTAAATTTTTATACGTTGACAGATATACATGTATGTATACCTTACATTTTTAATATTTGGCTTTGGTTATCCTATGTAAACAATAATTTTGCTTTATGTAACGGTGATCTTTTAAAATAATCTGAAGATTAGATACTCTAAACATTTCATCATTTTTATTATATTTTGGACTTGACAACAGAGTGCTTAATCAGTGCATAGCCAGTTTACCTTATTTTGCCTAAAAACTTTTAAGAAATTATAAATTGCTTTCATACCAAAGAGATTTAAGTCTCAGTTGTGATTTCAATGTCAGAAAAAATATGACTAATTTTAACAACAAATGTTCTAAGCTCACTTTTATTGCATTTTGTTAACGAATAGCACTTTTGCTTACTAAGTAATTGTGCCTGATAAAAATCACGGGTTTAAAAGTGTTTCAGTGACGGAAAACACTTTGGGGGGGGAAATGTGGGTAGAATTGTTAGGGGAATAAAATGTATTACAGTATATTACAAAAGTTTCAAATATTTATTATATATCACAAAAAGTACCGAGGAAACTAGTTTTGTGATTCTTCTAGTTCTGGATTTTGAAGACACTTTGCATTTTACTTAAAGGTAACCACTATTTAGTTGTGAATATTAAAATCTTTCTCTATGGCCAAACAATATGAAAAGAAAGTTGGTGAGAAGAGGTAGGTGTATGAAAATAAATTTTATCTCTCTATCCTTCATTTTGTAACAGTGAAAGAAATATAGTCATGCACTGACTGATGACATTTCAGACCACATATATGAGGACAGTCCCATAAGATTTTAATACTATATTTTTACTGACCCTTTTCTATGTTTAGATGTGTTTAGATACACACCTACTTACCACTCTGTTAACAGTTGCCTACAGTATTCAGAACAGTAATATGCTGTACAGATTTGTAGCCTAGGAGCAATAGGCTATACAATATAGCCTTGGTGTGTAGTGGGCTATACCATTTACATTTGTGTAAGTATACTCTGTGAAGTGCACACAATAACAAAATCGCCAAAGGACCCATTTCTCAGAATATACTCCTCCCATTAAGTGACAAATGACTGCAGAACATTTTTAGGAGGCAGCAGGAATTGAAGATTCCAAAAAAATTTATCCACCCTGCTGCTATTAAACTATATCTTCAAGTTTAAATTGATCTCTTTAAGCCTGTCTTTTCATTAGTAAAATTAACATAATATCTACCTTGAAATGTTAAAAAAATTTTATTGAGATAATATAAGCAAAATACCTGCTTCAAAATAAGCGTTCTGTCAGAATTACAATCAACATGAAAATCATAAATGCATATTTTCTCTTACATTTTCCTGTGCTTTCTGTATTTTGCTTCTACATGAATATTATCGGAGATTTGTAAATTTTAAATAAGTTGACGTTTTTTCCTCCTTATAAGCAAACAAGGGAGATAAAACCATAATAAGGAAATAATGCAATATAACATTCAAAACTACTTGCCAATTGTGGCAAAATTCATAATATTCGACAATCAAGCAAAATAATTTACATAGTTCCTAAACATTTTTTCTTTAAAATTATTTATATATGAGTAAAGTTTAAAATTGTTTAATTTACAGGTGAAACAAGTTTTTGTAAAGTAATGAGGCCTGTGCATGTATACAACACACAAATGCGGGTTACTTTTGAGCATAATTCCTGAAAGACTGCAAATTCTAAAACCAACCCCACTAAGATGGGTTAAAGCTAATGTATATTTCAAGTTTTATGAAGTTCCCTGCTGATAACTGATAAAGTATCATATGGTAATATAAAAGATGTTCTGTTATATCAAAATATGTAGGTATTTAAGAAATGAATAAAGTTGATTTTTAAATAGTTGGATCTAGGATCTAGTTTGATCTGAAATCAACTAAAAGGACAGTGAACCATACTTTATTACAATGACATTTTATTTTCATATTTTCAGATTACTTGTACAAAGAAAAGAGGGCTTACAATTTATAGAAATATGCAACGAAGTTATGTGTCTTAGTAAACAAATTCAGTGAGGAAGATTGGCATTTTTTAATCAGAATTTTTTATGGCTATTACAAAAGTACACTTTATTTTTTCTCTATAAAAATTAGGATATGAATCAAAGCAATATAAAATGAGTGCTTATGTAGATCATGGAACAAGCTGTCTTTGCTAAACTTCTTGAACATTGTAAATATTTGAAGAATACCTCAAAACATTTTTGTCTTGTTTAAATATCCATAGACATAGTTTTGCCAATTTATGAGTATTGTCATGATGAAACTAATATCAAAGTATTTAATTGAATTAATATGTACTGAAAAATTATTAGCAGCATTATCTTGATTTCAATGCCAAAGGCCATTTTCAATTTTTTAAAAAGGAACAGATTTTTACTGAGAATTTGTCATGAAATGTTTGGAAAATGGTCATGAATGACAAATTTATTTCTATTTTTATTTAGTGATGAATTGATAAATTGTAAATTCTAAGTTTTTCTATTATAAACTGTCTGAATATCTTATCTGATGTAGACAGTATATGAATACATTTATGCAATGAAATATATTAAAGATCAAGAAAAACAGATTATACTCACATCTGATTTCATAAGAATCAGGCTCTAATTTCAAATTTTAAATCTTAAACTAAGATTATCATCTCTTAATGATCAGAATTAAACTACATTGTGTTTAATCTATACTAGATATTATTATAAAATTCATAGTGAGAATTTACTTAGTTACCAGCTTAGTCTTTACATGTTTTATGGTAACTTATTAGTAAGGAAGTCTTTTTTCTAAACCTAAGCTCTCAGGTATCTCTTGTGCTTCAGAGAAAGTTTGAGAAAGGACAATTGTGTTTGTTGGTCCTTGATTCTTGTCTGAATGATAAGCATTCTACCCTAAAAAGTAAGTTCTGGGCTGGGCATGGTGGCTCACACCTGTAATCTTAGCACTCTGGGAGGCCGAGGCGGGAGGATCGCTCAACATCAGGAGTTCGAAAACATCCTGAGTAAGAGCAAAACCCCATCTCTACTAAAAATAGAAAGAAATTAATTGGCCAATTAAAAATATATAGAAAAAAATTTGCCTGGCATAGTGGCACATGCCTGTAGTCCCAGCTACTCAGGAGGCTGAGGCAAAAGGATCACTTGAGCCCAGGAGTTTGAGGTTGCTGTGAGCTACGCCACAGCACTCTAGCCCAGGCAACAGAGCCAGACTCTGTCTCAAAAAAAAAAAAAAAGTAAGTTCTTTGAGGAAGGAACTCCAAGAAGAATCTATCTCACATTTACCAGGGCTTTATAGTATTTTCTTATTTTTTCTATTTGCAAAGAACTCCTGACATGTCAGGTAGAAAGATACTCAAATGTAAGAATAAAAGATATATATTATGTTAATATACACACATACATATATGAATTTTCAATGCATAGCATCCTTTTCTATTGGTGTAAAAGTGATATTTTATATGTGAAAAACCTTTCAAAGGAGTCGCTTAAATATAAATTAATTTAGTAACCTAATCTCTTTCTGACAATCAGACAAAGCCTAACATTTTTCTTAAATCATCATTTAATTCCCTTGGAGAAATACAATCCATAATTTTCCTCAATTAGGATTGATAAAAGTTTTCCCTGAACTTTTATTTTTCCACATTTCCTTACTTTATCTTTGATTTTGTCATTTTAAGCATATAACCTCTATACTATTTTAAAATTAAGGTATCTGCCATTAGGTATGGTAAAGATTCTGTCGCTATAACAAAGAAACACAAGAGTTCAGTAGCAATAAAAAACAAAGAATTAGTTTGCAGTCCCACCAGAGTGTATGAGTGTTCGTATCTCTCCGCATCCACTCCAACATTTATTGTTTTGAGATTTTTTGATAAAGGCCATTCTCACTGGAGATAAGTGATATCTCATGCTTTTGATTTGCATTTCCCTGATGATTGAAGATGTTGGTATTAACTGACTTAACTGACCAACACTTAAATGCACATTTAGTAGTAAAATTCATCGGGTGTCAGGCAAGTGTAGGCAGAGGAGGGAGTGGGTATATTCAAACCCAATGGGTGCAGTGCACATTGTCTGGGGGATGGACCTGCTTGAAACTCTGACTCAGGTGAGACAAAGGCAATATATATAACCTAAGCATTTGTACCCCCGTAACATGCTGAAATAAAAATAAATTTAAAAAAATAAATAAAAGGATATTTTTTTTCTTGTTACATGTTATTTCTGACTCCAGTTCTTCAGGATGTCGGGAAACTGTGCTCCATGTGGTCATTCAGGATCTCAGATAGCTTTTATGGTGTTCCTCTGCCTTGCCCTAGGACATTGTTTCAGCAGCATGGTAGAAATAGGTTACCATATTCAGGTTTCAGCACATGAGAAACATAACTAGGTCTGGAGGAGGGATGCCCAGACCTAAAAATTACATAAATCCTTCTACTCATATTCCATTGGTACAACTTTATTACATGACCCATTTAATTTCAAAAGAGGCTAAAAAATGTAGGCAAGTAATACTGTCTTTTCCCAGCTGTAATTCCATTATTATGGAAGAATGGGAAAATAGATTTTTATGATCAACTACCTTAAATGGAGGCTGTCATCTGCTTTAAAAATTATAAAAATTTCGGCCAGATACGGTGGCTCACACCTGTAATCTTAGCACTCTGGGAGGCTGAGACGGAAGGATCACTCGAGGTCAGGAGTTCAAAACCAGCCTGAGCAAGAGTGAGACCCTGTCTCTACCAAAAAATTGAAAGAAATTAATTGACCAATTAAAAATATATAGAAAAAATTAGCCGGGCATGGTGGCACATGCCTGTAGTTCCAGCTATTCTGGAGGCTGAGGCAGAAGGATCACTTGAGCCCAGGAGTTTGAGGTTGCTGTAAGCTGGGGTGACACCACGGCACTCTAGCCTGGGCAACAGAGTGAGACTCTGTCTCAAAAAAAAAAAAATTATAAGAATTTATATGTACTGGTATAACATTTTTAAAACCACATAATTTAATTAAAAATAGAAATATAATGTGATTGCTTTATAGATTGAAAAAAATCTGACCTTTCATTCACCTATGCACTATTCTTATGAGTGGAAAAAATATAAGATATTGCTTTAAATAAACAAGGAAATATAGCTGTTAAATTTTGCATATGACGTCCCTATAAGTATGAACCATCTCTAAAAATTGTATATATCATAAAAACATGGGTTTTAGAGCCTATATTTGGTAAACATTATTCTATTTTATATGTAAATCTAAATGTATAACTTGAAAGGGAAAAGCTTTTTGTAAATCTTGTCTCTTGTGTACTAGAATTCTACAACTTTTAGAGCTGAAAGAGACCTTGGAGAGTTTCAGCCCAGCATCCTCAGACATTTTTGCCAAAAACTTCACTTTCAAGAGAACTACATTTTACATTGCACTCTAGTTGAGTATGCCTTATTCATTTATCAAGAATGGTTAACAAAATTGAATGTGAATGCTCAAGAATTAAAATATTAATAAAGTCTAATAGAAACATTTGCTTCCAAAACTTAAACATTCAGCTTGTGAATTGATTGAAAATCAGTTTATTGGTTGACTTTAAACAAAATTTAAATTTTACTAAATATTTATGTTATAAAAAATGCTTTGCCCTCTACACTTGTCCTCTTGAGTATGTAAAATGTCTAGGGGGAGCTTGAATTTCTCAGGGTATAAGTAAAATGCTTAAATATGCTTGTAAAATGGTAAAGTTTATATCTATTTACTTATGATATACTTCTCATTATCATTCTCTTAATTCCAGTTTCCCTAAACATAACTAATGTCTTTGTGTTAACTTTCACTGTATTACTTTTTAGGATTCAACTAATTCCAAGATTAAATTTGGGCCTCAGAAGTTCCAGAGGCTTTATTGGCTAATAGCAGAATACTATTATAATCCTATTATACTTATAATTTTAAAAATATTACTTCAAATAATTTATAATTATCACATATTAATGATGATAATAATATAAATTAATATTAATAAATCAAAGGTATCGATATACCCTTTGCTGATTCTTTACATTTCTGTGTATATTGTTTAAATTAACATAGTTAGAAAAAAAAGCAAGTGCTTAAAAAAAGAATGAGGGCAAAAACACAAATAGTTAAAGAAAGATGATTCATAACATCAATGTAATATGGTCTCTTAAACAGCTCAGGCTGCTGTAACAAACTAAACTGAGTGAATTATAAACAACAGAAATTTATTTCTCACAGTTTTGGAGGCTGGAAGCATGAGATCAGGGTGCCAATATGGTAGAGTTCTGGTGAGAGTCCTCTTTCAGATTGTAGACTTCTTTTATCCTCACATGTCAGAAAGAGAGAACACTGGTCTCTTCATGCCTTATATAGTCACCAATTACATACTTAGGGCTTCATCCTCATGACCCTAATTACTTCCTAAAGGCCTTATTTCCAAATGCCATCACACTGGGATTTTAACATTTATTCCATTGCATAGGGTAATGCTGAACAATGTATTAGTTTTTTTTTTTCTTTCTCCAAAATATGTTTTTGAAATAATACTACCTTAATTTTCTCATTTAGATATCAACATATATGTAATATAATTACACTCTCTTCCTTACATGAAATATTAGAATCTATCTCAGCAACTGTCCATGAAAATCTAAATTTTCATATTTTTAAATCTGCACCATAAACTAATTTGCTTAGTAGTGGCCAGAACTAACATTTCTGCAATTGTTCAAACCAGAGACCTGAGACTATCTAGTGTCATCAGTATCTTGTATATTCTTTTGGAAATCCTATAAATGTGTGTGTGTGCATGCATAAATACAAATGCTCACAT